TCTAGGTGTGTGGAGTTTAAGTCAAGGGAGGTGATGCTACGATTATACAATTCCTTGGTAAGACCCCACCTTGAATATTGTGTGCAGGTTTGGTCACCATACCTTAAAACGGACGTTGCTGCCTTGTAAAAGGTGCAATGTAGGGCTACGAGAATGATTCCTGGTCTTAGAGGAATGTCTTATGAGGAGAGGTTATCTGAGCTGATTTTTTTTAGCCTCAAGTGAAGGAGATTAAGGGGGGACATGACCCTGGTATAAATTTTTGTAACAGGTCTGGATGCTGTTCAACCAAATAGTTACTTCAATATTAGTTCGAATACAAGAACTCATGGCCTCAGGTGGAAATTAGTGGGAGAACATTTTAAACTGAATTTGAAAAAGCACTTCTTTACACAGTGTTTGGTTATCCTGCTAGTGTAGTGGAAGCTAAAACCCTGGGTTCCTTTAAATCAGAGCTAGATAAGATTTTAACAACTCTGAGCTATTAGTTAAGTTCTCCCCAAACAAGCTTGATGGGCCGAATGGCCTCCTCTCGTTTGTAAATGTCTTATGTTCTTTTAAGAACAACATAAGTATGGCAACTTTCATCATATTAAAATTGTATAATAAATTCCTTTTTTTTATTCGTAAATGCATAATGAAGGAATGATTAAATTGATTTTAACAATATCACATATCCATTTTCTGTTATTTATGGGCTTACAATGTAATGTGTTTACGAATAGTACATATACATGTTTACAAAGAACAGACCAGATATCACCTGTATGTATAATGTCAGATCATTATAAAGTGAAGTGATTAATCGTCATTGTTGACACACCACAGCACACAACAACAAAATATGCCCTCTGCATTTAACGTAAGTGATATAGCAGTGGGCAGCTATTATTTAGCGCCTGGGGAGCAGTGCTTGGGGGCGGTACCTTGTTCAGGGTACCTCAGTGGTACTTTGCCAGGCAGCGATACAAACTAGCAACCTTTTGATTATAAGCATGCGTCTTTAACCATTAGGCCATTAAGTTAGGAAAAAAATGCATGAATCAGCATTTGGTGCTGGTAATGAATTTGTGCCCATTCTCCAAAAAAACAGGAGAGCTTTAAAATAGACCAGTCCTGTGAACAAAGCAGATTGTATTTATAAGAGAGAACGAACTGAATAGTGTGCTTATGTAACAGTCTGAGTGTTTTGTTTACATTTTAGCATAAATTTGTCACACAAGTACTATGACCCGCCAAATAAGCTGTGAAAGGAATGACAATCATTTTCAAATTGCCCTTAAACATTTACAGAGCCTTTGCTAGAATCATATTTATTAAGAGTTTATATTTGCAAAGTTTTATTTTGTAGGTAATTTTGTGTATATCACAGTGGATAATGTGAATATTTTCGCTTACAGAGATGGCACTAATAGTGCCTTTCTCTGTTCTCACTGACCAGCATATTCATCTTGATGTTTTTGTCCAAAGTTTCAAGGCTGTTTTTGAAGGTCCTCTGTGTCCTGTGATCGTCTGCTATTGTATAAATGTGGTGTCAGCAAGTTTGTGTTTTTAGTACAAATTGTGTTTTTTTTTTTACCATTTAGGTTTACAAAACCGTGTTTTGCTTTTTATTAAAAGTGTCGGGTGATTGGTTAAGATCGACCTGTAAAATTGCTCCTGTTTGGTCAGACTTGTACTCTGCTTTTGTTATGCTACATAGTTACATAGATTAAAAGTTTAAAAGTGATTTGCATTAAAGTTGATTTTGCAAGTCAAAATGCTGGGTCTGATTTTTTTTATACCAAATAAAAGTAATTTACATTTGCTCTTCAATTATTTTATTATCAAACAGCAGAAATTCAAAAGCGTGAGCCTACTGTCATGTAATTTCACTACGTCACTATGGAGCCACTGTTATATATAATGTTAGTTACTATCAACAGACTTTCCTGCTACAATTGCAGCTCTGCTTTCCATGCACCCACCACACCTTCAGCCATTACCTGAGATAGATAGATAAATAAATATGATGCACTATTATATATGTGACATGGCACTTCTACACATTAAAAGCAATTTAAAACAAATCTCTTCAGTGCTGTTTTTTTTCTTTTTCTTTCTTCGTTTTACATCTTTTGCTTAAACGTGAATCAATCTTACACATAATTCTGTCATTTTAAAAATAAAATACTTTGCAGCCAGTCAAGCTTATTAAAGAGCTGACATCTCTATCTGTCATGAAGTGCGTACTGTCACCACCAATAGTGTGGATGTGAAAACAGCCCAATTTTTTCACTGATGGCATACAGTCCCAAAGTGTGTTTCTGAGTGCTTTCTGCTGTGATATTCCCATATTCCCGCGTGTGCAACTCAGAACTTCTTTCCCTGCAAAGGACTGGAGTTTGATTGGTTCGTTGTTCTGCAGCAAGGTCATGTGGGCTGGGTGAATAAGGATGCAGTGATCAAGGGCAGGGCTGCCTTTAAACAAGACAAAATAACAGTAGAATGTCATTCTTTGCTGTATGAGATAAACCGCCACATCCAAGCAGTAACAAATATTTAATTAACACTTCAAACAAAAAATGTTTTTTTTATTGTGGTTTTGAATGTCATGCATCTGGTTTTATCAAAAAAATTAAAGGTAAGACTGGTTCACAGTGAATTCCAGATGGGGAACATCTGTCCACTGTGTTAATATTGTATTATT